TGTAATTAGTGAAAATGCTGGCGCTATCCAACGAAGCGGTGAGTTTAGTGTATGTCTGCACGGTGTTGGTGAAACAGGTGAACTCTACTGTACCTACTTCATGGGCCGTTAATTTTTCAAAGGTACTTAATTATTTTAGCGTTGGGTTGAGTGAGTAATGATTAGTTTTTTACTCTGAGAGAGTAATGATTATTTTTTTTTTACCTAGAGAGAGAAAAGTTTAGTTTTTTTACTCTGAGAGAGAAAAGTTTAATTTTTTACCCTGAGAGAGAAAAGATTATTTTCACCCTAAGAAAGTAATGATAATTTTTTTGAACCAGGTCTGTTTGGGCAGGTTATACACATATTGCCATATAGACAGCAGGACAGCATGACGTCATGTTCATCCAGTCTACGTCACGGCATTGACAAAGCGGTTCTCAAAGTGAACGTCAGCATAAACAGAAGAGAGTGGTCGACTGTGGTGGTCATTACGTTTAGGACGTTGATCTCTACAGAGTTCAGATATGTAAGTTTAGCTTGTGTGACCTGACTTAATGGTCACTCGTGTGTTGTTTGTCTTAAGATCATCCAACGATAGCGAGTTTAGATATGTGAGTTGAGCTTGTGGGATATGTTTAAATGGTCATTCAAAGCTATTGAGTTCAGATATCTAGATATAGCATGTGTGATCTTTCTTAATGATCACTCAAGGCTATTGAGTTTTGGTATATAGCTATAGCATGTGTTGTCTTTCTTAGGTCATCCTACGATAGCGAGTTTATATATGTACCTATAGCATGTGTAATCTGTCGTAATATTCATTCAACTATATGTTTAGTTATGTGAGTATTGAATCTCACTCTGGCCTAAGATTAAAATAAAAAAAAAATAATTTAGGTTAGATAAATGAGTATGGCATTTTAGTATAGGAGTAAGAAAAATAAAATACTGAAGACGGTATCTTTGTGTTTAAACATGGTTGTTAATCTATTATTGCTGTTGTAGGTGGTAGTTGGTTGAAGTGACGGCTCTATTTTGTAAAAGTTGTAAATGTTAAATAACGTGTGTGTACGCTAATTATTGTATCCAATCAACCTGTGACTGTCGTGAGAACTAATTAGACAATTAACTTCCTGTGTTCAATTCTTACACGCTTGTCATAGCTTGTTAAGTTTATAATATTCAAGATGTGGAGTTTTTCGAGAATTTCACACACTTGAATAACTTGATCTGTATACAACAATTAACCTTTGATTAACTTAGCTCGTTAATTAACGATTCCGCGAAGGTACTTTGACTTTTGTGTCATACATATTTCAAGATAATTACAAAGTAATTTTTTGTAAATTTTTTAATACACTTCAGTGTAACTGTACATTTTGAAAGTGCTAAAACCAGTTATAGTTGCAAAGAAATAGATTACCGTTTTTATAGATTGAATTAGGTTTTAAGTCGCAGGCTGGTGAATTTCGAAGTGCTTTTTGCCGGTCTATTGCCATCTTGTAATGCTATAGGAAACAAACTATTGTATTAGTAAATTTGTATGCATCATATTGAGATTATTTAATTTGGAATTGTAAAATTTAACGTAGCAAAATGTACCAAGGGTTGTGGGGATCGACAAAGTTGTAGGCTAGTACAAATTAAAACTTGTCTCAAAGAAATTGTAGAAAAATAGTGTCTGGTTAGTAGGCTAACAAAGTTTCATCCTGTAAAAAAATGAAATGTAAAACACAAAAAGATGCTTAAAATTTGTAGAAACGAAAAAAATAGGCCGCACGTTTAAAAGCTGTGTTTAGAAAGATCGAGTTTGGTTTATTACATGCTACTCCAACATTGTATATAAGTGTCTTTACCCTCCCCCCCCCCCCCTACACACCCCCACCCCACTCCACCCAGCTGTGCGCTGTTGACCTAGCTCACGGCTGTGTAGGCTTCAAGCCCCTGACCTGCTATTGTGACGTCACAACGCAGATCGTCATCAACCTCACAGCCCGAGTTTCGCTGAGTGAGGCGGACATACAAGGGTACATAACCCACAGCCAGACTAACCTAGAGACAAGAAGTAATATTCAACGGTTACCTCCCATCATAGGTATCTATATTTGAAATAAGTTATGCCGTGCTATAAAAAAATGAAGTATAATTAGTGCACACCTGTCGTTTAGTTATTTATTCAACTAAATGACAGGTGTGAAGTAAGTAAATACTTAAATTAACAATTTGATAAAAGCGTATTTTGAATTTTAAATATTGATTTTTTAACCTCCAACAAACATGTGAAAGGTGTTTGTCATAATACCTCAGCACATCACATGGTGTGTGTCATACATACCTCAGCACATAAAATCGTGTGTGTAATACACACTTCAGCACATCACATGGTGTGTGTCATACATACTTCAGCACATAAAATCGTGTGTGTAATACATACTTCAGTAAATAAAATGGTGTATGTCACACAATCTAAAGTACATCTTTACTGCCGATTAGATAAACAATATAAGCTCTTATATTCATGGCGCAACTCTAAATATATAGGACTGCAGCGTAAATAAATTATATTAAATTAATTTATATCACGTAAACTTTATTAATTTATTTAATGTTGATTGATTTTTCCAGAGTGTGTTAACTATTTTTTTTTTACTCTAATCCAGATGTTTCTTCATTAACACTAACCCCACACAAAGTGACCTCTGACCCTAGCCAGAGAGCAGCACTAATACTAAAGGAACAAAACGTGACCTCTGACACGGTGACCTTACCTGGGCATGTGCGGACAGTTGAGGTGTGTTGCCACGACACACCTGAGCCGTGTGTCGGTCATCTGTCAGCTGACAACCTGACCGTGTCGTCCAACACAACGTGTGTGTCGTACGGCATCACACGGCATACAACAACTTATCTGACGTACAGCTATACCATATGTGGTCTGGCATCCAGCAGGAGGTTTACAGTACTGGTAGATGGGCACAATTTTTCAGGTCTATTAATTAATTAAGTAAATAATTAGCCGCATGTCAATGATTTTTTAAACACGCACAATTTTTCAGGTCTGTTTAATTAATTAAGTAAATAATTAGCCGCATGTCATTGATTTTTAAACACACACAATTTTATAATCATAGATCTGTATTTAATTAGGCTCTTTATATGTTTTAATTATTTTTTTCTATGACGATTATTGCTAATATAACTTATATAATATAAACTTTTTTTTTCATTTCATGCATATTCATATATTTTAATTTACAAAATAAGTATTTATAACTATCTAAAAATATTTAAAAAAATATATTTTTAAAAATTAATATTTTTGCAATTTAAAAGCTCTAACATTTTTCTGATGTTCTTGTCATCGACAGCATCAACTGTTAAAACAACATCAACACCTGGTGGTGTATCAGACACAGGTTTGATTGACACAATTTTGTGAATACATATAAGTTTTTTTTTAAAATGAATTATGGGTATTAGAATTTAGTTTTCAGATTTATGAAATATAAATATGTTTATAACAAAGTAATTTTTGTCAACAGAAACCATTTCTAGCTTTACCATAGACGGGAGGACTGTGGTCAATAATACAACAGGTGGGTTTAGTCTACCTTAGTCTACATGAAGAAACAAATGGATTTTTTAATACATGTGTAGTGGTTCTTGTATAATTCTGAGTGACAGCTATGTACAGTTGCCTTGGTCGTCTTGGAAGTACGCTGCTAGTCATGCGAGTTTATGTAATGAAAATATATACTTTTATTTTTAAATACTTCTGATCTTGAAAGTCTCATTTATCGAAAGATGCTGATTTAAATGTAATTACGCTAAACACTATAAAATGTTGTAATATGTTTAAACATTAACGGACGTTTAGCAAAGAAAAGATGTATGAATAAATTAAATACATTGATAATATATTCTCTAGTGGGGAGAAGGTTTAGTCCGTATCAATTAATTAGCTGTTTTTTTTAAACTTCAGCTATCCCTTGGAATAACTGTTTTCGCTTAAATTGACCTACAATTTTGGCAATGTATTAATTAATTCTCCAGGGATAACTCTATACACGGACACAGACCAGGAGAAGTCGACTGTTTTGGTTGTCGCCCTTTCTGTGTCTATCGCACTGCTTGTTCTGTTGTTATTGGCTCTGTTGGTTTTCTACATTTGTAAAGGTCAAATTATTCGAATTTTACTATATTTTAACATACGTCAATTAGATTCTTGATTACAATAAGAAATATAGTCATAATAATAATTTAAAAATATAATCTTATTAAATTATTACCCAAAGTTCAAATAAGTTGATTCAGCAATTTATGAAAGGAAAACAGAATAGCTACAGTTAAATGAGTTAAAATGAGTAACAATATTACCGGATGAGGCCTCTCAACACAATCTGAAAGAGTTCATAAGCCAAAAGCCATAATTTTAATATACTAATTATTTCCTTGAGCTCTCATTAAAAGTCATCGTTAATTATATTAAATCATGGGTGTTATAATTCTTCAAATGCACAATTACTTTTTAGTCTTGTAATTAATTGCATTTAAATTACTTTATTTGGTTTTAAGTTAATGTATCATTTAATTAAATAATAACCGCTTTACTAATTAATGAATCTGTTGACCACAGGTAAACGTCTCCTACAGAACCTCACTGAGATGGTGGGAGGGTCTGAGTCGGCCAAAATCCCGCGGACAGCCGGCGATGACGTCACCACTGAGCACGTGTACGAGTCTGTTATTTACACTGACACTGCCGGTGTCAGGGTGGACGTCTGGCAAACTGACATGACAGACAGTTCGTTAATTAAACTGGACACATCACTAGCTAATGATGAGTACATCATTCCGTCTGACCTCGTGTAGGGTAAGATCTAGGTCAGGTTGTAAATTACTAATAATAGTTTAGAAATAAAGTTTCAAAGTAAAAATGACGTTGTGTTTGGATGTTTTATTTATTCACTTGAAAAAAAAATTATGCCCTGTCTATTTGACATTTCTAATCGTGTGTTTCTATTGTTAAAAAAATTAAAGTTAAAATAATTTAAAAACAAAATATACAATAAATAATATACGTTGTGTAACAAATGAAAAAAATAAATTATGACCAAAGTTAAGTGGAATAATAACACTATTTACCTAGAATTGAAAAAATCACAGCTATATAGTAAAAATTAACAATGCAACTACCCTACTACAATAGATGTAAATTAATTAAATTAAGGACATAACTAGTCTCAAACACAATTAACCTCATATTGTTATTGAGTTTAATTAATCACTGCTATGTTATCAATGTAAGCTTATATTATGTAGGACACGAACATGGCCTTAACTTTCAAAATAAAGGTAATTAATTAAATATGTAATAATTTTATACTCAAAAGTTTTCCCCAAAAAATCTGGAAAAAATTAATAAATATTATTATCTACATTATGAGCAAGCCGACAACAGTATTTTCTATGCCGCGTATTATATTCTCATTGCGGTAATGTGTAAATTGAATCAGTTTGTTTTGTGTTGAGCCATCATTTATTTCAACTGTCTCGAATTTGGTGAAATGATTCCGTAACATGATGATATTAAAACAAGACAAAATTTTTGTCATGCTGCGAAATGAAATCGACAAAATTGACATAATGTTCTCCGTATCTTTCCCCTTCCACCACAATCAGACAAACTTAAAACACATACTGGCTACATAGGAAACAGCTGTTACACACATACTGGTTACATAATAAACAGCAAACAGCTGTTACACATACAGGTTGCATAGCAAACAGCTAGAGAGCAAACAGCTGTTACACCACCACCTGCTCACAACGATCAGGTTAAAGATTAAATGTATTCAGGTTTTCAGTAGTTCAGAATATCAACAAAATATCCAAATGATAATTGAACAGAAAATTAAAATAGCATAGTACTGATGGTAGAATTTTATTTGACAATCACGGTTTGGGCTGTATATAAAATCAAATATGAGTCAAGTAAGGAAAATATATGTTTCAAGTCAAGCAAATTAGTTTGGTAGTTTTTTAAATAGTAACTAAATTACATCAACTGTGTTCACGGATATAAAAACAGTTTACTACATATCCATTCCCAAAAACAATATACTAAGCAACACCATCGTAGTATAGAACGTAGCTTAAAATAACACAAATATATGGCTACGATAGTCAGATATATAAAATTTTCATCTCAGTTATGTATTTGCTAAATAAAAATAGTTAGTGACTTACAAAATGGGAAAAGAAAATATTGAATTTTCAATTAATTGAATGATACGATAGAAATAAAATTATACTAAATACTAAATATATAAATAAAATCAAACTGAAAATTATAACCTATTTAAAAAAAAAAATTCATGATGTGTTTACATTGTCACTTGGTGTAAAATATGCTTGTATTGCAATACTAACTTTACACAGCAAATAGTTTTGAAATTGCTTGACATCAAAGCTAGGTGTGGAGTCTTGAGTTGAAGATGTGTATCCGTTTGCTTCAATCCCAGCAATAGCTAGCGCCTTTGGTAGTGTGTTGAAGTCACAGTTACTATAAACCTCACCACCTAAATTTACAATCTTTGCTGACTCAATGTTGTGGGTGAAATTACTGTAAAGATACGTGTACACATTTTAGCTTTGTTAAAATATAAATTGATCAATTATTAAGACTGAAAAAACTAATGTAAATCTCTTTAGTCCTAGTTTTCAATTAGAAAGATACAATAGAGAAAATATATTTTTTGACCTCAACAAATGAACGGTTAGTGTTGTCAGCATTATGCCAAGCCGTCTTTACTTTCTCCAACGTATGTCAGGTACCCATCCGAGCTGGGTGGACTCAGGAATGTCTTACAGTCACAAATCCGTACCGAGAATCGAACTCGAAATTTTTGGAGTAACAGGCAAACACTTAACCCTTCGACCACGCCATTTAATATTGTTATGAATTTTTATAGCAAAACAGGATAAATAAATGTTATATTGATTTTTATAGGCACATAACTGTAACAGCCGCAAAAGGCAATTCAGTACAGTATTTAATAAATACATGATACATTTTATATTACTAGCAAAATTTTTAAAAAATTCACCATATTTTACAGTGTTTTAAAGATTTTTATGATAATCAAATGCAACAAAACACAAGGTGCTAATAATATTAATGACAAACAATATAAGACGAATAATTACATACATAAAGCTAAAAAGTAGACATCTAATACTCACATGACCAGATTTAAATCTGTTTTCCTTGTTGTGATTCCGGAGATCATATTAATCACTTCTTTATCCCAACAGACCTTCAGCATTTGAAAAAGTTTCTCAAACATGTTGGTCTCTACTACAGGCTGGTAACATTTGAATGTGGGGATTTCCCCTTGACCTGTGGTAAAAAACCAAACATGACAGTCAATAACAACATTGAATTATCGATATTCGATAAGCTAATTATTTTTTCATTTACACTAATTTAATTAATTTTGACTTTCTTACAATACACTGGTATAAAATATACTGAGTTTTTTTATAGAAATTGTTTGTAGGGTGTATGTAGCATTTTTCACAGTATTGTCAAGACACCTTTTGTCTATTAAGATATATTTTCTGGCGCTTAATTTTTTCTAACGTGTATGCTTGCTTAAGAATTGCGACTCATATATGGCTCATAACTCTAGGTGAGAAATGCTATCTTCTTCACTTTTTCTTCGATCTTGATTTTAGTGTGGGAAGGGATCCCCTAAAACACAATTAAGTATACGTGTCAAATGGTTATGCGCCATTAAGGCCATTGACCCCAATTTTAGCCTGATTTTCTTTTTGGATTTGCTTCCATAGCCTTTGTCCAACCGAAAAAAAACTACAAGGCAGCAGTTGTTTAATTTTTGAGTTGTCTCTTCTAGAAGAGAGGCTGTTTAGCAACATAAGCTTTACCGACTCGACCACGAGTTAATATTAGCTAGAAGTGCTAGTAAGCGAGTGTCATTGATTTCATATACATTTATTGTTCTATTTATAATTTCTACCCCTAATATATATATATATATATATATATATATATATATATATATATATATATATATATATATATATATATATATATATATATATGTGTGTGTGTGTATGTGTGTGTATGTATGTGCGTGTGTGTGTGTGTGTGTGTGTGTGCAACTAAGACAAATCTTACCTTTGTATGCAACCAGTGACTTCTCATTTGACGCTACTGTATCTTCTGACTTGCATTGTCGTTTTTTTCTTCGTCTTTTCCTTGTTTTCTTCTTCAGAAACGAGTTAGCCAATCGAATAGCTTGACACACACATTCATCGTTTGGGTTGTCTCTTAAAACTTTCTCTCGTAACATCTCAGTGATTTGTTTGTTGCCCATCTCCACTGCGTACATCATTGCTGTACACCCGCATTTGTCTTTAGCGTTGACGTCACACCCCATCCTCACCATCTCGTACACTAAATCAAAATCTCCAGTACCTATAGCGTACATCAGAGCAGTTTTACCTAGATTACACGTAGCATTAGGGTCTGCTTTAGCATCATACAACTTTTTAGCGGCGTTAGTGTGTCCATGTTTAGCTGCTATAAGTAACGGTGTTAACCCAGCTCTATCTTTAGCCTCGACATCACATTTCTTGAGCAGCAATTCTAGCGTTCGCATATCTCCACTAACGACAGCGTGCATCAAAACTGACCAGTGGTCAGTATTCAAAAGGTCAGTCTTTGCGCCGTTATCTAACAAAATCTCCACAATATCGTCGTATCCTTGACCAGCCGCGATAGCCAGCGCAGTGTCCTGGTTGTCGTTGGTCTTATTGACGTTCGCACCATTACTGAGCAGCACCACCACTGCCTGTACACGTCTGGCTTGAGAGGCGATAATCAGGGGCGTGTCTCCGCGTGGGGGATAGTGTGTGTTGGTGAGGTTGTGGTGTACCACGTGATCTAACCATGTGACGTCTATCTTAGCTGAATACATATGTAAACATGTATGAGATAATTATGACAAAATATTGTATACTCAGGTATAAATAAATACGTTATATATATATAAATATAAATAAATAAATAAATATATATATATATATTGTAACGTTTACCTATCTACCAGGCAGATAGATGGTGAACGTCCCCGGATTCTTTTTTCGGGGTTATATGCAAATGACTTAAAGCCTAAATGAATGAACGCTAACCCAACAACACACTAGGGCTCGATTTCGATGTCTAGGGAAAACTAGTGATACTATTGAAGTTAACAACTCATTCAATCTGCATACAACCTTTAATAAGCGAACACAGTTGTTGCAGAACACTAGGTTAAACGAGATAAAATATTTAATTTAGAAAATAACAAAACCCAACTTACAAAGCGTAAGAAAAAATACTATCACAGATTTTAACACTGTATAAAAATAGCCACAGGTCACACAACACTGCTATAGCTTCAAGAATCACTTGGCGACAAGTAATATTATACTAGAAGACTAAACCAACTTAAGAAAGCATTGCACACTCAGGACTTAAGTTCTCTCACGTTCAAATGGTCAGAATCTATTTCCGGACAACATAGACGGCATGGTCAAGATGGACTGCTTGATCAAGGTGAACTGCCTCGTGTCGCGTGTGTGCGATCTAGTTAAAGACTTAGGCAACAGGGGAGGTTATCCTCAACTCATGTGGCCATTGGTTGGGGTGGTCATCTGGTCTGAATTAATCAATCAGATCTTGATGGAAAATTTCTACGTCTTAGACACTCTTAATAAGACAGTGGAAAAACCCCGGTAGTTGCACCATCAATCCATATATGGTATTAACACAATGTCAAAATAAAACATTACTGGACCTAAGTAGGTCACAATATATATATATATATATATATATATATATGTAGTGTGTGTGTGTGCATATTAAATCTACGGTATATTAATAAATTCCGAATTACGATATTTCAACTCTGCATCTCTCTAGAAAGGCATACAAGTTTATAATTTAAAATTTGGACTCAAATTGCTTAGACCAAGATAATCTAATAAACACAACAAGTAGCATTCTCTGCTCATTGAAAGCAATATGATTTGCTACAGTGATTGAGTGGGTTTCAATTATTAATCAGTATGATTAAATTGGGTGTGGACACGATGTGTATTTAATTTTGTTATTATTTACTTTATTGATAGTTGTTTATTCTTTGCACACATCAACTAAACATAAGATTTGAAATGCTATATGTTGCTAATCTTAAGAGGTCAGAATATTATAATGTTAAGTTAAATACAAATACATTCATGTTTATTACTCGGATTTAGCTGAATTTACTTTGAATTATAGCAGTTCAATTTTCAAAACTAATTTGTTATGAATTTTCAAATGGGTCCATTAAAAACACTAGTTTTAATGCCCTGAAATTACCCAATATATATATATATATATATATATATATATATATATATATATATATATATACATATATATGGATATGCATACAAATATTTATATGTATACTATTTTATACCGTGTGACTAAATATGAATGTATATATTGTATATGAGAATTGAAATAATAGTATATATATATATATATATATATATATATATATATATATATATATATATATATATATATATATATATATATATATGTTTGCGTGTGTGTAATATTTCCTTTTCTTTGTTAAAATAGGTATGAACAACTACTACTGTTCTGACAAAAAATAATGCCGATTGAATTTCAAGCGTGTATGTATTAGTAGATATTGTTTGTATACATATAAAGTCAAGATTCAGCAGTTACTAGGCTACAAGTTTGAAGTCAATCGATTCTTATGTAAGCATGTTAAGACACATTTCTTCTATATAGTATCAAGGTTTAATTTAAGTGTTAGATTCTTTTCTAGACCACAGACATACTGTGTCAATGTTTAATGAATATTACCACACTGAATAATATAGTTTAGATAACAACTGATTTTTAAAAAAAGCTTACTGTGTCGTTGTAATGGAACACTATCCGCCATTTTCATTTTATGCAGTAATTTATTTAGGTCAAATATGTAGCCTATAGTTCGTGTGTATAAATAAAAGTATCAATATTGGTATGCTACTGCAGTGGGTATCAAAATAACGGTTAAGTTGAAAAGGCTTTAGACAGAAACATGTCATTTTCTAGCCAAAATATTTTAACAGATGTAACACAAATAGTTTAAAGTAACAACATCGATACACTTTTAAATATATATTTGATATTTATTTACCTGTAATAAAAAACGTATTTTATTAAAAATCACGCTATGTATATTATGTATTCACATTGTTGAAGTGGTCGGACAAGACATACGATAATTAGCTGTACATAAGTCTGGAACTTCATTATGAACATACTCTGACGTAAAGTTGGTTAAACTATGCATTAATTTCGTAACTATTTTAAATTTACTTTTTACCTTAGTAAAAATTTAAATTATCTGTATAAGTTAGTTTTTCTAAACTTGACTACAATGTATTGGTTGTTATGTATAATTGCAATGGGACATTTTTTAACCAAAATAACATGTAAATGCATTAAACAGATACCGTGGAGCTTGTTGAAGCATACTATGTAAACAAACCTAAAATACTAAAGCATACATGGCCTGGATGGGTTAATAAACAGTACACACAAATAGTTAAATGTTTTTTCTACTAATGTCACAAGGCGGGGACGGGAATGCGAATCGTCCCTGTTACACTATTCAAAGGGTGACACCATACAAGGGTGTGTCACCAATCTAGAGGGTGACACCAAAACGAAATATAGCAAATTGTAATGATAAAGTCTTTATGTTTTTCCAGTAAGTGTAATATCTTGATAACATTATATACATCGATGAGCACATTGTAACATAACCCGTGGTAGAGAATTGGTGACACCACATTGCCAAGAGTTGTACTACATCATACATGTGGTTGGTGGAGGAGGGGGTGACACACTGCTTACCGCGTGCCGCCAAGTCGCCGCCAACGACTTCATTATAGCTGTTTAGTTAATTAATCCAAGGAAAAGGAATATTAAAGAAAAAGATCATATTTAGGCTTAAAATTATTTCACGAATGATGTTAAAATACTCATGATGTTGATGAATAAGTGTGGTACAAAATGTTTGCGTACTTTGTAAACAATAACATTCATTCATTTGAAAAAAAAATGTGCCAAAGTTCAAGCTATTATATTTAAAAATGTTTCTGTATTGATTACAATATATATTAGTTGGTCATTAACAAAAAGGAGTATGTTTTCCATTGCATAATATGTACAGTTCCTCTTTAGATCTAACGATCGATTGCGCATATAAAAAACATATATTTCTTAGCCTCGGCTTATACAGGAATGGTGTGGTAAGCAGTGTGCCCAACGTAAGCCAAGTTCTCATCATAGCAGGGTGAATTCAAAGACCTCCTACAAAATTTAGAGCCAAGATTCGATCTCGAGCCATTCGAGCTAGCAACCAAACGCTCTACCATTCGACCACGCTGCACCCTCTATTTCATAAAAACAGATCAAAAACTTCAAAACGTTATGATTGTCTGTCATGTACTGTGATGCCTAGTTTTAAATATTAATCTTTAGACTGCTGCTTCTTCAGAAATCTGTAATATAGATCAGTTCATATTTCCTGTATAAAAAACATAACTGCATAAAAAACATAACTGTACATAAAGATGTGTTTCCAATATTAAATACTGTCTCATATATTAATATATGTTTCGTATATCATGAACTGCCTCGTGGAACAGGAACAGCCTCGTTCTTTACCAGACAGTAATAGTGTATATCACGATCTGAACTTGTCCAACTCTTCATAATGAGATTCTGTGTCCTCTTCACCCAAACACCAGGTGGTATCAAAGCCGTCTGTGTCGTTACCTGAACACGGCAGAGATGCAGATAGACAAAATAGATTTACATTTTATATATATATATATATATATATATATATATATATATATATATATATATATATATATATATATATATATATGCATGATCGTTATGGTATGATGGTTTTCTTCGTTAAATCTCTACAATCATTTAAAATAACTTGAAGCAAAAACAACAAAGCGATGTGTCGGCAACATGTAGCTGAAGTAAGCAAAACGTGGAGCTCTCTAATAGTGTCTTAACTTAACATGCTATTCCAGCCAAACATGGGAAAAAAAGCATGTAAAAACATTCCGAGAAATATGTATACCCTGAGAGTCTGAAGCACTAAAGTAATAAAGGTCACCGTTGTCTATCTCAACTGAAACAAATTCAGTTAAAGACGTATTTTTCTATTTATATATTTGGTGACTTATTTATTTATTTAATTTTTTTTTGCTAACACGCTTTGAAGCAGTTTACTTTATGGTCAAAATATTTGAACTTAATTTGTAATAATAATGCAACGTATTTTAAAGATAAAAATATTTTACCTCTTAGCTCATACTCATTCTTATGTCTGTAAAATAATGAATCTAGAGTTAAAGACATATTTAACATTTATGAACTTCCAAGTAGGATCAATCCTTTATGATATCCTAAATGGTCACTGAAATACATTATTAACAGTTTGCTTGATTTTACTAAAATAAGTAAGATTACTTTCTTTATTCAAGGTAATTTATATATTTTTTTTTAAAAATCGGATGTCATGACCTACGAGTGTATAACCACTTATTTAAATATCTATTTTTTAAATAAAGGTAACCATGATAAAAATTATATTGATATGCCGACTGCGCAATCATTTTGTGTTTTTTTTTTAACATTTGCAGAAAATGAATTAATATGTTGTATCTAGCATATGGCCAACATACATCCAAAAATAATATCATAATTTTCATATTTACTTACATCTTTGTTGTGTGGTATATACGTGGATAAATTGCTGAAAAAAAAGTCAATAAATTACATTTCCAAAATGTCATTTGTTAAAATATTTATATTTTCGTCAATACTGACACCATCAATTCTAACATCTACTTGATTAGCTCATTAATGTAATAATTTATCAAATAACATTTACGGGATCAGGTGTGTAGAGCGCCGCTGAGGCCAATCCAGCGAATATGAGTACCTGGCTAGATTCACGAAGACAATTCACACCGCCCTGTTTTATATCAATGATAAAATGCTGTAAGTCTTGTATTTCTCTACTAAAGTGATATACTTACTTTTCCAGAATATCGCAGCTAATACCACCGCAATCACCAGTACAGCTGAAAATACGATTAACACCGTAATATATCCAGATGGTTCTGTCGAGATAATTCATAAAACGGCAATATAGAGAAGTTTCAATTATGTTCCAAATTTTCCTTACAATTTGAAAACAAAATAGTTTTTAAATATTAATAAGTGATGAAAAGATGGTAAGATAGCAGTCTCATTAAAATAATTTGCATATAACGTTAATAGTTTGTTTTTAAGTTTGTGTCTACATGTTGTACTGGCTAATTAGTTAACAGCTGATGTAACCTGGATAACTTTAGACCACGTCACCTTTTGTTCCATGTCTACTAGTGTTTGATGAAACGGTGTTGTTTGATGAAGCTGTTATATTATATATTTCGCCAACATTCTCAACCAAACAAGAAGAATTAGCACTGCAGTTTTTTATACTTTGTGCTGTTGTAATGTGTTCTGAAAAGCAAAATTTTCTACAAATGTATAAACGTAGTTTCTTCATAAGTTGTATTTTACTTTTTAAAATGTGTATAATTTCTACTAAAGTGTTCTTTTTTTTTAATTTTTTATTTGACGTTTGTTTATTTAAATGGTCGGATGATTTGTGTGTAAACTATAAGAACTGATATGGCTAATGGTTCTAAATTATTAAAAAAAAAGACGAAAACCACAATAGTGAAATAAACTCACCTTCTGCTACTGGTTTGCAGCTGACATTTTGACTTGTCCATCCCAGTCTGTTGGTAGCCTGACAGTAGTATTCTGGGTAGAAAAATGTTTTAGTACACTAAAGTTCGTAGACATTATCGATATGGATGGACATGAAAATGGTGTTCTAAAATATACTCGGAACTTAGCGATTTAGAAAATAAAACAAACCATCATATGGTCCTGATACTTGGATGGTTGAAACGTTTGTTCCGTTGTTGTGTTGTATCATTGTGTTATTCCTGTACCACTGTATGGTCGTCTCAATCTGACTGGAGTCTGTTCTGTAACACGTACAGTTGAATGTTGTAAGTCCGTTGACATCTGTGTAGTTGGTGACTTTGATCTCTACAGAAGGTGGTTCTAAACAAAAGTGAAATATTTTATACTATCGTATATCGACTCGAAAGAGGTATCAAGATTTTGCTTTAGAGGAAGTCGTGATTGATCTAATGGGTAGATATTAACTTTAATCGACCTATTCAAAAGTTATTGCAGCGTCACACAAAGTAAAAAGTTATGTTTAAAAAGTAGAGTAAGAAAATGCTCTTCTTCATCCTTTCTGTTTAAATTCATCACTGAATGGAACATCAAACCATTAAAAGATAGAATTGAAGGGTCATCCTTTAATTGTTTACATTCCACATCTTTGAACTGTGTACAATTTTAATCGGTAAAGGGCGAAGTGTCCAAAATATATTCGCACTGAGATCAGCCGTTAATCTTGACCCCACCCCCCCCAATTCCACCTCGCATCTGATTAGGACGATAATTGAGTCCTGTTTACACTATGAAACACCAATTGTCAGGGGTTATGATTTGACATAACCACTCTTTGTTTTCAGATATTTATTACAAGCGTTTATTTAATTTGCTTCCTCACCATGTCTTTCTGTCTTAGTGGTCAAAATGGGCGAGCGAAATTTCGACCACTTCTGAACAACTAATTTATCTTAATAACTAATAAGAAAAGCGCTGTTCGCTTTAGTATGTATTGAATACATGTACAATAATTTAAGGAGCGACCCACGCTTTTATTAATAGTTATTTAAATAGTAAATCAACGTTATATATTTAAAGAAAACAAATATTTTCTCATTTTCAGTGCATTATTACATAACAGCCTTTTTTTAAACGTTTTTATGCATTTTTAAAAATACTGTTGTTTTTTTAATTTATGTTTACCTAAAGTGACATTGTGTACTACCGTCTGGCCATATTTCTTATCTTCAGTTGAGTTGGTCACGTTAGGATAGACGTACATGTGAAGTTCCTGTAGACCAGGTCTCAAGTTGATGTAAGGAACATGCACGCTACAACTGGTGTTGTAATAGACTGGTTCAGCGGTTGACCAGTTGCTGCTTGTCGTGGTCACGTTTGAAAAAGTGACAGTTTTCTTCTGCTTAAAAAAATTTCGAAAATGAAAAAGGTAGGATTAGATGGTGTAGGGGCTGGTCTGTAGAGCTTACTAACACTAACATAAAAGTCTCTATATCGGTTCCCTATCCTGGGCCATAGGACCAACTCAGCTTGGATTAAAAGCTGACTCACGTATTGGAGGGCAAAGGCGGCTGGGCATAGAATCGACCACACTGAGGCTTTATATGCTGTTGTCGCATACACATGTGAGCCCTACTTTTCTGCCCTATTTACCTTATGGTTCGAAAGGGTAACTTTATTTTGTATAAAATATTATATAAAATAATTTTCTCATGTACTTTAAATTTAAAACGGTGGTGAATTGGTACAATTCAATTGTATTTTTAAAAATAAAAATTTTAAATAATAATTTTGAACACAAACACAAAAATGTGAACAAACAAGATTTAAGCAGACATGATCAGTAGACAGATATCTTAAGATTTTTTTAAGTAAACGTTCACTAAATTACCACGTAGACAACCTTGGAATCTGATATTGTGGTCAGCACCATGCCCTGTCGCCTTTGCTTTCCCTAACGTAAGTTAGGTACCCTTCAGAGCTGGGTGGACTTGAACCCGGATTTGAACTCTATAACTAGGCCACGCCGTTCGATGTATACCGAGTTTAGAGCTAAAATAATGTCTATTTTATCAGATCCATATGATGGATAGTTTTTTACAATTGTTTCTTACTTGTTAAACAGTAAACTTATTTACGTGTAAAATAACTTAGGGCAAGAAATATTTACCTTATCAACAATCAGTAGACAACTTCCTGCAGGGTAAACTCTCGAGACCAAACACGTGACGTTAAAACCAGTTGAAATTTGGTAAAAACTGCAGGTAGTGTTGTCTACTGGCACTGTGGAACCACGATTTATGTAGATGGTTACGTTTACACAGCTTAGTCATTAAGTAAAGTGTGTATTTATTGAATTTCTTTTTCTGTTTAACACTGCCACGTAATGTTATATCGTAATGTGTTTGAAATAAAGTTGCAATGTAGGAGATTTTTTTGTGTGGATGTAGAATGTATGTTTTAGCTTATTATAGCGTTTCGTTATACAGTTTGCAGAGGGGAAACAAATTGCATCATTTATACATATAATAATGTATGCCGTATTCAATCACTGTACTGGAAGAAAAAGCATTCTTTTTTATCTGCACACTTTCAAAAAACCAAAAGTCGTGAAAAATGTAATAAATAATAAATAGAACTGAAAAAATATTTAAACCATTATTAGTTACATTTTATGTGTATTCCTAAAAGTATACATTTTGAAATAGCTCACCGTAAGTATGTAAGTCACAACTAAAGTACGGTGCGGCAGGCGTAGTCTCTGAGACAAGTGTCCACCTGTTTTCAGCAAAGACAGGGAACCCTCGAGTAACGTTTATGATAGTGAGGCTGATGTTGTGAAGTCCTGTATTCATAAAACTCTCGCTGATGTTATAGAGATGATTAAAGGTACTTTCACATGGATTAGGTAGTTGACACCGCGCTACCACATCATTATTTCTTTTCCACACAATATCTTTGACTGGGCTTTGTAATGGTACAAGTGCTGACATCACATGACGACTCCCTTCCCTTGCTGGCTCACAACACTTGACGACTAAAAGTGAAATACTAAAGTGATACGTATAGCTAATCAAAATATTTAAATCAGGTGTAAAAATAAATATCATAGGCTCGAAATTTAAATCATTTGAAAATTATTATTCACTTCACGTACCACAAAGCTCAAAAACAAAAATAACTTAAAATCTTTTACGATACTGTGGTTTAAATATTTGCTCGGTCGGCCGGTTTATCGGTCGCACCCCCTCCCCCTTCTTCCCCTTCAGACGAAGTAAAATTATGTCATACATATATGGAAAAACCAACACTTATATCAAGACTGAGTTGTATCATCTTATACGTTACTTTAAAGGCGTTTATATGTGTTTAATTCGTGCGGCGTCAATTCGGCCAATGACGAAACGGCCCCGTCAAACCGACCCCGACAAAACGACCCCGTCAAAACGACCCCGTCAAAACGACCCCGTCAAATCGGCCCCGTCAAAAGGGCCAGCGACATATGGACCCCGTCATATAGGCTCCCGACAAATAGGCTCCCGTCATTTAGGCTACCGACAAATAGGCTCCCGTTATATAGGCTCCCGACAAAACGGCTCCAGTCAATAAGGCTCCTGACAAATAGGCTCCCGTCATTTTGGCTCCCTACATATAGTCTCCCGTCATTTAGTTTTTTCCACAAAACGGCCCCCGTCATTACGACTCCCGACAAATAGGCTCCCGCCATTTAGTTTCTCCACAAAACGGCCCCCGTCATTACGACTCCCGACAAATAGGCTAGCGTCATTTTGGCTCCCGACAAAAAGGCTCCTGTCAATTTGGCTCCAGACAAAAGGACCACTGACACAGTGGCGTAGCTACCGTAAAGCTAGCGTAAGCAAGGCATGGGGGCCCAAGGCACATAGGGGCCCTTTTCCCTCATAAAAAATTAAAACTTTTACAATGGAATTTTAATATTTGTTACATATAAATAATTTTAAAAAAGAAAAAGGTTAAAAGTTCCAAAAAGCCCCCCCCCCCCCCACCGTTTCGGCAGTGGGATTCAGTGTTTGTGGGTCAAACCGAGCCCAATCGTTATAATAACACTACAGGCTATATCACTTTGTCGTGCAAAAAAAAAAAAAGCCCCCCCCCCCACCGTTTCGGCAGTGGGATTCAGTGTTTGTGGGTCAAACCGAGCCCAATCGTTATAATAACACTACAGGCTATATCACTTTGTCGTGCAAGACATTGAGAGAATCAGCCTATAAATAAACTTTTTAGCAGTAGTAGGCAAGCATAATAATAAAGTATAAATACAAAATCAGGACATATAAAATACAAAATGTTGCCTTCAGAATATTTATATATTAAAAAATATCCATCGTAAGTAGAAGTTGATCTCTTCGTTTAACTCCTCTGTAGCCTAACGCAGAGGCGTAGCGAAGGCGAGGCGGGGGGTGCGGACCGCAACGGGTGACACCATTTAGGGGGGGGGGGTGACACCAAAGGCAAAAAATTGTAAAATGTATAGAATGAAATGCCATTTTCCAGATCCATTAGTTAAAGTTAAATAGTCTTCTAAGTACAAATCGAAAATTATATCAAGAGGGGGGGGGGGGTGTGACACCACGACGTAAACGTAAACTATAAAGAAAACAATGCTACATCCAACTGTATTATAAACAGACTGTAGATAAACATCGTTACTATTAAGTCAGCAGTGATTAAAGCTTAAACAAGTACGTGTACCAGTATGTGGCATATATATAAATTTTTGGCCTATGTAGGCCGACACACACACACACACACATATATATATATATATGAAGAGTTGATTTTCAAAATGCAATATATCAAAAATTTGGGTTTCGAGAAAATCGCACTTTTCTCCTACACGAAGCCATTGTACAATATGCTAAAACTGTTTGTCAATTTAGGTTCATAACCCTCATATACATAGGACTAGAATGGTTTTTGAAATGTACTTGCATAAAAAGATACTTTTTTTTTGTCCCAAAATTTGCGTTTCGTTGCAAAATGAGGTATATCCAGCTTTTGTTAAGCTACAAAACGCTGTATATCCATTTTTTTTCTAATAATACATCTGATGTCCAATATTTTAGTTTATTATTTTATTAAGACCCACTTATATTCCCAGTGTTATCATCTCACTACAATTGTACCATGTTTTTCTGTTACTTTAAAGTGTTTTTAGTGAGTAATTTCAGTTATTTGAACATTTTTCAAAAATGATGCAAGTCTCTAACGAGAGACTTTAATTTGAAGAGTACAGCTTGTCTTTAGGTTCATAACCCTCATATAAATAGGACTAGAATGGTTTTTGAAATGTACCTGCATAAAAAGATGCTTTTTTTTTGTCCCAAAATTTGCGTTTCGTTGCAAAATGAGGTATATCCAGCTTTTGTTAAGCTACAAAATAGAAATAAAATGAAAATTTTGCGCCGTGAAGATTAAAATTAAGTTTTCCTAACATTAACTGAGTAGCTTTACAATATGGGCACGCTATCTCATTTTTTTCAAAAATGGCGCTTATCGCGTTTTGAAAATCAACTCTTCATATATATATATATATATATATATATATATATATATATATATATATATATATATATATATATATATATATATATATATATATATATATATATATATATATATATATATATATATATATATATATATATATATATATATATATATGCTTTGTTTCCTGGGAGGGGGTGACAATACGAAGTGCCGCACCGGGTGAGACCCGACCTAGCGACGCCACTGGCCTAACGGCCGACGAAGGGGCCCACTGATAATTTTTGCAAAAGGGCCCAAAAATCCTAGCTACGCCACTGCACTGACAATACCGTTTCTGTAGAGACTAAGTCTCCCGGCAAAGCGGTCTCATTTAATATGACATCTGCCAGTGGGACCCCTTCATCAATATTCTTTAGAGTTAGCTTATCCAACACTCTTATGTAATACAACGTATGCATCTCTTGTTCGACAGGCCTTATTTTTATATTAGTTTATGTATTATAAAATATAGTATGTTTAAATTAAGGGTCATCTATCTATGACATCCATAATTGAGTCGGTTATAGGCTGTTCCAACTCATTGTGTGGGGAGAAGAGTCCACGCTGTACCTTCCTAACTGCAATATGCTTGTACTGGGGCGTAGCGAGGGGGGGGGGGCGGGGGTGCGGACCGCACCGGATGACACCATTTAGGGGGGTGACACCAAGGCAAAAAATAGCAAAATATATAGAGAAAAAGTTGAGGGGGTGGGGGTGCAAATCGAAAGTTTGGGGGGGGGGTGCATATCGAAAACTTGAAAGTTTGTCCCCGGGGGTGACACCCGACCTCGCTACGCCACTGTGCTTGTAGGTTATCAAAACAAAATGCTGTTATCATGTAAACATCATGTATATCATACATTTACACTTCTGTGCTTGCTTTTAAGCAACAGATCTTTTCTGTTGTAAATTAAACATTATCAAAACTTTAGAATTGGTTGAATTTAGCTGTTAAGGGCTCGAATGTTTGTGAATTAATGTTGGTTCATGAAAAAATAATTTCATTCGGGCATTAAAAAGAGGTTATGGTGGTATTGGAGGTAGGACACAATGGTTACTTTTATGCCAATAGTGGTCATATCATTCATTTTTCTGGAGCCAATATGTCGGGAGTCATTTTGTCAAAAGCCAATATGTCGGGAGTGTAACGTTTACCTATCTACAGCCAGATAGATGGTGAACGTCCCCGGATTCTTTTTTCGGGGTTATATGCAAATGACTTACAGCCTAAATGAATGAACACTAACTCAACAACACACTAGGGCTCGATTTTGATGTCTAGGGAAAACTAGTGATACTATTGAAGTTAACACTCATCCAATCTGCATACAACCTTTAATAAGCGAACACAGTTGTGGCAGAACACTAGGTTAAACGAGATAAAATATTTAATTTAGAAAATAACAAAACCCAACTTACAAAGCGTAAGAAAAAACACTATCACAGATTTTAACACTGTATAAAAATAGCCACAGGTCACACAACACTGCTATAGCTTCAAGAATTACTTGGCGACAAGTAATATTATACTAGAAGACTAAAACAACTTAAGAAAGCATAGCACACTCAGGACTTAAGTTCTCTCACGTTCAAATGGTCAGAATCTATTGCCGGACAAAATGGACGGCTTGATCAAGGTAGACTGCCTCGTGTCAAGTCTCTATGGAGACTCACAGATCACTCAAGGCAACTTGAGCTACTGTTCTCGTGCTGGTTGTGTTTCCTGTTGTGTGACACTTATGTGGTTCTAACCACTAGGCCACTAGTGGTGTTCCTAACCACTGTGCCACACTACTCGGCAGCAAGCCGAGTTTCTAAGCCACTAGACCACTAGACACCATAGACTATACTCAGTTTCTCACCGAGTATTCGAACCTCGGCCGCCGCCGTGGCGCGCCGAGATCCTAGCCACTGAGCCGAATCAATCAATCAGATCTTGATGGAAAATTTCTTAGTCTTAGACACCCTTAATAAGACAGTGGAAAAACCCCGGTAGTTGCACCATCAATCCATATAAGGTATTATACAATGTCAAAATAAAACATTACTGGACCTAAGTAGGTCACAGGAGCCTAATTGCCGGGAGCCAATATGTCGGGAGCCCATTTGTCGGTAGCCAAAATGTCGTGAGCCCATTTGCCGGGAGCCCATTTGTCTTGAGCCCTTATGTCGGGAGCCAATATGTCGGGAGCCGCTTTGTCGGGAGCCAATATGTCCTGAGCCT